GTTATAGAATAAAATGCAAGGCACAAAATAAGTTTACATTTTTCTTAAAAAGTTTGAAGTAATAATTTTTCTTGATATTATTTATATAATAGGTATAGAATAAATATTCACACTGTACAGTTGTTTCAGATTTAATTGGAATTGATTTTACTGCCAAATCATCGTATATTTCCCAAGTATTACTTAATAGTGACCTAAAATTCCTACATCACCAGTCAATGAACAAATTCCTCTAAGCTCATAGTTAATATTTTGAATAATAAGTACAAAGGGGATGTCCGATAATTTTATAAATACAGCAGTGCTCGAATTTTGACTGGTAAATCCTAAAATTATGTTAATAAAATTATTAATTAATTATTTTATTGTTATAACTTATATTATTATAAATAATATGTATATAATATATAAATATGTTTAATGTTTATGCATACTCACCTTTGTAATTTTGAATTAATTCTATAAATAAATGTTGGTTTGATAGAAATGGTGTTAATGTTTTAATATTTGTACATGTCTTATTGCCATTTTTATGTTTGCAAATACTGTTGCTAACACAAGTACGTTAATAAATAAATGTTTGAAGTCCATTGAAGTTTCCATCATAAATATAAGTTATATGGGAATACTGGTAACTGGTTTTATAACATTTTGAATCAGTACATTGTGTTTTATCATAAATTGTCGGCAACTCTGGTATAACACGTGTAAGTAAATTGTTGAAAGTTATTTCACATTTAAGAAGTGTGTGATTGTACTTTAAGGGAGTTTGTAATGGTTTCTGTAAATAAATTATAATTTTTGCTCTTTCTCCATATGTGTAAACTGCAATTCCTTCTGATAGAATTTTTTTAATACATTTTATAAATATAGAATAGTTATTTATTTCTTCGTCTGATTTTAAATATTGTTCACTGTCACACATAGCCACCATTATCAAAAAGACTGCAGTGTCAAAGGCACATGTGTTAGTGAGCACAATTTTAACTATCATAACTTTTTATTTGTAAAGCTTTAACATTTTCAGCTCTCGATCCATTTTTTAATATTGGTAAAGATCTATTGATTTTTTTTTACTGCAAATCTAAATACTTTGAGTGAGGATTTGGACTCAAATAAGATTCAATTTTTTTTTTGTTATTTCGACACCAATTTTCTTTTGGTGTATCTTCATCCTTATATTTAATAGTTTCAATGGATTTTATTTTATTTTTCACACCGGAAATTATGCGTATCGGCTCTATTGTTTTAGTGACACATCGTTCAGTAAATGATTCCAAATTGGTTGGTAAAGTAATATCTTTAAATGTTGTGTTTTTTATTTTATTGAACATTGACTTGACTGCTGCTGACGATTTCGTTGGTTTTCCGTAACCAAATAATGGAACCATTATACCACTCCACAATGGCAGGAGTTTTAATTCTTTTTTTAGCAGTGGAATTATTGAAGGTAAATATAAAGGATTTATACCAATACCTTCTTCGATATAATTTTGATTTTCTTCATGTATATTATTTGCCCACGATGTAAATGGGTTTATTGTATCTTCTAAACTTTTTTCAGTATTAAATGTCGTCTCGATACTACTTCCATATTTTCTTAACTTTTTGAATTATTATTAAGTCCACTTGAAACTATTTCTAGAATTTTTGTCTTATGCATCTCACATTGCGTTTTAGATCCAGTTACAATGTTGTATCCGTCCAATTCATTTGATGAAACTATAAATATTGAAATGAGTAATGACCGTATTTCGTCCAGACTTTAGGTTTTTATTATCAAATATATAGCTCTAAGCTAAATTTCTTTTACTCTTTTGGAGGTAGTTAAAAATGATGACCATTTAGTTATATTTTTTAAAAAGTGAGTTATATCAAAAATGTCAATGTGAATGGATTGCAAGCTGTGGCGTAGCCATGGGGGGTTTTGGGTGTTATAACTTCCCCCATCGGTCTTAATTTAATAATTTTAATATTTTTAATTATTCAGTAAATTGGCGATCAAAACAAGTAGACTATAGTTAATGTGATGAAGTTCAAATACTTTTACATCATAATCAAAATAATTCTAATTAAAATGCATATTTTGAATCATTCCTAGTATATACTTAAACCACCTTAAACCCTCTCCTCCTCATTCAATAATTCTGGCTACGCCACTGATTACAAGCATAAATATAATATTATGTGGTGAATATTTAAAATATTTTTAGACTATATTACTCTTTACTACCATACAAAATAATATTTATACCTACTAGATAATTACTTGGAATCAACAAGCAACGGTGATTCCATTTGAAAATCATTTCTGCGTTCTCGCAGTGATCCTCAATCCTCAAAAGTCTCTTCCAGTTTTTCATTACAGACAAAATATTGTCTGTATAATCTGTAGATAATATAAACTATAAATAGTGAACAAGAAAAAAAATAACCAGTGTCTTCTCTACAAAGTTCCAGAGCTAACTGAATGTTTATTTAATTAAATTTATTAACTCGTAGTGGTTATTATATGGAAATAAATAATAATATTGTGTAATATTTAACTAAGTTACATATTTTGGTAACAAAAAAAAAAAAATAATAATAATAATAATATAAATATACAAAAAATTTTTAAATATAAATTTAGAATGATCAAATATATAATAACGTGAAAATCAATTTGAAGTTCATGAAAGATATAAATTTGTTTTCAATTTTATTAGATTAATCTAATCGATTGAAAGTTATAATGTAAACTGAAAATACTAAATCTTTATGTTACATCAGTGATAATATTAGTGAAAACTCGGAAAATTACTAGTGCATTTTCAATTCTTACATAAATTAGAAAAATAACAAATAAATTTATAAGTGTATTGTGTATATGTATGGATAATACTCGTACCGATAAATATTGTCTGGACATACCTATTTCGGTGTCTAATACTTATAAAAAAACAAAAGATATTTGTGGTCATCAAAACTTTAGCCAGATTAATACTTATTTTCAAAAATATGAAAACCAATCTGAGTTCAATCCTTAATAAAATAAATCTATACAGAAACAAAATTATTTACACGATAAGAATATTGTAGTCCTTTTCTGATAAGCTATAAAATCTAGTTTAAAGAAATTACCCACGGTTACTAAATAGAAATATAATTTTTTCATACACTCAATTACTTATCTATATTTACTATTACATTAATAAAACCAAACTTTAGCCCCCTCGGGCCATCCGTTAAATTCGCTACTGGACTAATGTAATATGTATAATATACATTTAAGTGCTTAACTACCTATTTAAGAATTAGGTATAACTAATATTTGTACTATTTTAGCTATAGCCAAAATATTCAAGTAAACTCGAAACATTTATAATATATAATACATATTATAATGATTTTGTATACTCTTGCCGGCCACAGACGACACATTATTATTTTTTGTTTCTTTGTACATTAGTTCATATTACAGTTCATACAGTCGTACCGGTGTCCTTTTTTAAAGCCACACCGACACGCATGTTTTGATTATTCGATTCCGCTTGTAATTACTGTCTGAACTCCAAAATATAATCTCAATGTTTGATGACAAACGACAAGACCTCATTGACATAACAATCTAAATTGCCATTGCCTGTTAGATATTATGGACTTAAAATGGAAAATATGGACATGCGATCAGTGACGTATTAGTAAATACTAAATATATTTATGGGTATAAGCGCTACTAAATTATATATATTCAACTTAAAAAAATTTTTCTCGCTCCGCTCGAATATTTTTTTCTTGTTAATCGTTAAATTAGAAAAAAATTAACCTAATTCCTTATATCAACTTCTAAGTTCTAATGTATTACTATAAAATATAAGTTCGGTAACGTTAATTAGTATCAGTGTCCACTCGTTCGGCAAACATTGTTATCATATATTGCATATTTTTGTTTCAACATTGCGTCATCACAATATTCAAAATTCAAAACAATAAACGATTTTTAAATCGAATCCTTTTTGAGTGTTATTGCTATTCATAGTTTTATAATAAATTAATTAATAAGTAAACCTAAACCTATACACATAACGAACAACGACAATGCAATTTTATAAATTCTTAACGAACGCTCTAGCAGTCAAGTCAAGACTTATCACATGATATTTAGATACTCTTTAGAAATAAAGAATTTTTTTTTTTTTAATTTGTAACTATTTATTCTTTTTACTGTAAATTGTTATAAACAGACGATTCTTTTGAAAATTGTATTTTAATATATGCATGCATCAATGTACCTTAGTCGATAATTAAAATGACTAGTTCCTAACTCCTAAGTTATTAAATTGAATGCTTTATAAGGATAATTTATTAAATGTTATTTTAAAATACATTTAATACAGAGTATACTTAATAATAAATAAGATAAATAATTCATTAAAACATCATAAACATTTTTTCCTATGAACTAAAATATAAGTTTTATTTGGTTTTCGAGTTATTTTATGAGCATATACCCATAAAATAATATTTTACGTTGGGTATACGCCAAAAATCGGAAATCTGCTGACAAATATACGGCGGCATACCCACGTATTCATACCAATACACCACACTAAATTAACAAAAATTTGTATCGTGCCACAGCAACTAATTATTGACTAGTAGTTTATTTGTACCTACTATGTACGTATGTGACATGAATATACGTATCAATAACTTGATTGTTTTTTTTATAGAAAGATTTAAATGTTTTATCTATTTATGTACAATATATTCCATAAACTACTTGTGGAACACGATGTCGATAATATAAACATCGCGGTACAAGCTAAAGTTTTTTTGATTCAAATAGTAAATATCAAAGAGGTTACATATATTGTAGCTTATAATTTCATTCTAATAAAATTGTGATTATATTTGATATAGTTTTCTGTTGTTTTTACCTACACCAAAGTATAAACAAGAATTTTGTTATCAATCAATAATAATCAACCATTCATTCTATTCAGTATTCAAGTTCAAAGTGCCAAAGTGCAAGTAATAGGCAATAAAATGATTTCTCTTCACTATTTTTTAATAATAAATAATTATTAGAAGTTATTAATTGATGATTTTACAGTTGATTGTACACTTTTGTTTCGCATTTTTGGATTGAAATATTGTTAAATTATATTACCCAACAATTTTCTTAAAATGTTTTATTACCTAACATCAACATAATGTATTTAATTTGTTTCATATGTTTGGCTAGTTACCTGAAAGGTAAATCTTCAAGTGATTGATATTTAATTCTTTAAATTATTTATACATTATTATTTTTTTAGGTATTTTACCAATAGTATTATCCAGTCATACATTTACTCCATACAGTTTAATTCGTTTTGCTCGCAGTACACAGATTCACAGTTTAAAAACTGTCCCTTCTAGTTTTGGACTTGTTAATAATGTACAAGTAAACAATAAGTCACAAATTATTTTATTAACAGAAAATTCTACAGAACTCAATGATAATTTTGCTTTAAAAGAACAATATGAACTTCAGAATGAAACAGGTTTGTATACATTTAATTTACAATATCTCCAGAAAAAATAAATAATTGATATATTTATTTACAGATATAATTGATAGATCAAATGACACATACACAAATATTACATCTTTACCGGAAATTTCAAGTTATATGAATTCTCATTTTGTTTTGATATCGGGAGCTTCTCTTGCTGGCTGTGTGATTCTTCTATCATTTGGTATTTTATTATTTAAATTAGTTAGAACTTAAAAGTTTAAAATTAGTTAGGTATAATTTGGTGTGTTGAGTACTTGAGCATAGTAAAAACATGAGAATATTTAAAATATTAAATTAAAAATAATTTATGTTGTATTTTATGCATATTTTTCTTAATTTATGTAATATTTAAGCGAAGTGTTTAAAAAAATTTTACCTTGACCAAAATGATCATTTTTTTTCCTGCTAAATAATTCAGTACTGATTAGTGATTTACGATTGTTTTGTGCAATTTGACTAGAATGTTTTAAAATAACGCTGCTAGAGTCCGTAGAAAAAAAAATACCTAGCACCACTTATTTTTACTCTAATCTCTATTAAGTTTAAGCATAGACGTTAAACATATAAAATCCAGTGATATAAAGAATACTATTAAAATTTATTTAGAATACTACTCAAATACCTCAACTTAAGCATTAAGGGGTTTGATCCTATATATAAGTTCATATTTTGTTAAACACAAGACTACTGCTACTTTTTATTTAAACAGTGTAGATACAATATCTTATATATTATATAAGATATTTAATATCTATATATAATTAAATTGTGTTAATTTTTTTTTTAGTTATTTTAGGATATATAATGTACAAAAAGAGTAGATGGAATACTCCACAAGCACTTGATCATTGTAGCAATGCAGACTCTATTGGTTACTTAGATGACATGTTCAAAGTAAGTTGTATCATAATTTTAATTTTCCTTAGTACAATTAAAAAAAAATATATGTATAACATTTATACAATTAATTAGATTAAAAAAAAATTTTAATTATTACAGATGAGCTTAAATTATTTAAAAAAAATAATTTGTACTTGTGTTTATGCTTCTCTATAATACTATTTGATCAATTTTTACAAGTTTAATCGTTGTTCAGATTATTTGAGAAGAAATGAGCAAAAGTATTTTTTTTATAATAATGATTAAAAAATTTATTTAACAAAAAACCGTTAATATTACAGGAAAATTCAGATGAAATGTATAGTTTGGATAACGATTCATTTCTAAATAGTTTGGAAGCCATGACAATTCAAAACTATTGGACCGAAAATGTCAAACATACTAAATTATAAATTTAGTAGAAAACTATTTTATTATATAATGAATTCATGTAGTCATTAGTTTGCCACATTATCACACTTCATATACATACCATAAAAAAAATTGGATCCAAGTTAACATTGTTATGCCTATGGTTTATTCTTAAATGTACAGAAAATATTTTTTATATTTAGTCTTTTTCTGATATTTTATTTTAAAGTTTATTAATAACATTATATTATATATATATTTTTTTATAGTTTTATTGTATATTGTTAAAAGAATGAAAATTACTATGACTAAATCTAAAAAATAGGCTCTTATTAGAATTTTATTTGTTTATGGAACCTAATATGATGTTACTAAAGAATGGAAGCATTTAAAATATTATATTATACTGTATACAGTATGATAAAAATAAAAATTGATATGCATCATATTCTTCTAATAAGGCTAGGTGAAATATATACTCATAATTGCAAAGTAATTTTAAATTGCATTCATTAACTAGTTGTAGTTTTTTTTTTTTTTTAATGAACAAAAATATTTTGTGTAGTATTCAAGTTTCATTTCTTGTTTTCCATTTAATATTATGTATGTTTCTTACTATTTAGGTAAATTTAGTACTTTGAAATTTCTTAAATAATGTCATCTTTATTTTTATTTCAAATTTTAATTGATAATTTATACATAAAATTAAATAATTGTTTATGTTTGAATTATTTTTCTTCTGAGTGATGTATGTATTATTTTTCAGATGTTTGTCACATTTTTACACTTCAGTATTTGTTATAGGTTGTTAATAGATGTAAGTTCCTAAAATGTTGTGATTTCTTAATTAATCTGTACTAATTAAAAATATGTATATATTATAAATATAATTTTATTGAATTGTATATTATTTCATAGCAAAATTATGAATTTTAAATTGTAGCAATAACAATACAAATAATGTAACCCAAAGTATTAAATCAATTGAATATAAATTAAAATATATTTATCAAAAGTTTTTTAAATTACTTATTATTATAGATTTAGAATCAACCTACAGCAAACTTAATTCTTTGTAAGTTCTAAAGTTTTTTTTTTTTTACTTAGTATATAATAAAATGCGTCTTCGGGAGAATATGATTCAATTTCATATTGAAGTGAAAAATAAAATTTGACTACATCTACTTCACTTTTAAGCACTGTTAATACAATACGTTTCATCTTATAATGAAATGCCATAGTTTCCAAGAAGCTCATCAGGTATTTTCCAAGACCTTTACCACGCACATTTTTTTCAATTTGAATTTCATATAGGTATAACACTTCAATCAAATTTTCAATATCAAATCGAAAATGCACAAACGCTGCTAGAGAGTTATCTCTTGAATGTCGAACTAAAATGTACCTACAATAAATTAGTTTTTTTTAAATTTAAATATTTATATCAAACAAAAGTTAATATAATGATAAATTTTATTTAAGTAAAATTGTTATTTACCTAGCATCTTTGTGGAATAACTCTGTACGTTTGTTTTTCCCATTCCATCCCCAAGGACACTTCTTATATATTTCCATCATATTTTCTTTAAACATAGAAAATATCTTATCTTTGAGAAAAGTAGTCATGGCAGGTGCTTTTATGAAATGCAATGTCACTTCAAGATCATTTTTATTATACTTCATAAATGATGAAAATGGTTTAGTTGGATCTGCTAAACCATTCACCTTTTTAGCAGCTTGAATGCTCATATTTACTTTAGGACTATTCATCTTAGATGAATCAGTTAGACTTCCAATTTTAAAAAATAAATATAAAATGAATTAATTAAAACCTATAAAAAAAAAAAAAAAATTATTATATGCCAACAGGTAAAACATAATTGCTAATTAGTATCTAATATTATACATATGAATATATGATACATGAAAGGTATGAAAAATAATATTAATACATTTTCTCATGCAGTTTTAGATATATATATATAATGATTTTCATTATATATATGTATATGTATATATATATATAATGATTTTCATTATTCATGATCTTGGTAAATTTTTGTTTTTAAAATGTAAATTTATTCAAGCAGGTAATATATCACAAACGTTGAGAATATTTGTTTTCGTTTTTTTTTAATAATTAATATTTATATTTTATGAAAAATAATCAAATAAAAATTCTGCTTTTAATTATCAAAAATATAATGGGACATTAAAAAAAAACTCCGAAGTATATCATATAGAATCATCAGTGATATAACTACAAAAATTAGGCTCAGAAGCAAACTTGTAGTCTCCTCTCATCTAAGCAAATATCTGAGAAATTTTAAAAGTGTTTACTTATTTGCTGAAAATATTTAAATACCTATTGTAAACATTAAAAATGTTGAATTTATACTATGTAATTATAATTACTCTGTACGCGTGAAAATTCAATTGGTAACATAATATTCACATTCATTGTTACAAGTTTATAAAATTAAATTTATCTGTGGTCAGAATCATCAGCATAAATTTAAAATAGTATATTATTAACAGAAAAACGTACCTTGAGCACCAAACATCTAGGCCTATATGCTACTGCACCTTATGATTTCTGTTAATCACACTACTGTATAAAATATTATACATTTCCTTTGTAAAACTTTCAAAAATATAGTAACCAGAATCATTTTATAGATAGCAACCAGTTGCACACACTACTCTATTTGTGAGGGTGTCAATCAAATATTCAACATTTGAACAGTATTTTGTGATGTCTTATTACTTGTGATAGGCAATATGCATCATTAATTGAATCTGCACATGAAGACATATATATATTTACGTATTTATTTAAAAATATCATATATTTTAATGACATTCGTTATAATTTATCATATATTTTTAAAATTGTTATGAACTTAGGACAAGAAAAAATTAAAACATTTAATCATTTAACCTATCTACAAACATTTGATCACATAAAGCTAATTTTATGCTTTTAAATTAAATGGAAATTACTTAATGGTTTATTGTAGTATGGACCTAAACATTAAATTAATTATATGCATTTTCTCAATGTAATTTGAAATGTAACACATATATATACTAATTAAGTAATAAATGATTTAATAAAGCTATATTTATTAATACTTTAATTTAGTAATAACAGTTATACATAATGTAATTAACTTTTTATAACATTTATTTAATTTATTTGTAAACTTCTAGTTCTTTACCTATATATTTATGTGTTATTTTCTTATTAGTTTCTTCGTAAGCTTCAATTTTGAATCTATTATAAATTGTTAAATTGTCAAAATTAAATTAAAATGTAAAAATAAACATTATATTCAGTAAATACTTGTTATTATTATTGTTTTAACATATTATTATCCAACATTTGAATAATAGATTTGGAAGAATACTTTGATTAAAAATACAAATGGATTCTAATACAGTGGAACTCCGATTATCCAGATTAATTAATGTCAAGGGTGGTCCAGATATGCAAATATCCAGATGATTGACATGTACCATATCAAAAGTTATATAATTATATGAATACCTAAATTGTATGTATTTATTATTTATATGTAAGTTATAACTTAAAATTTATAACAATAAACAAATAATATTATTATAATATTTAACTGAAATAGAATAAGCTTTAAAACACATTTATTTATTATTATATTATTTAATACAATATCATATTTTGAACAATAATTAGAAAAAGCTAAACTGTATGACGATTAGACAATAATTGACTAACTAGGAATAATACATTTATATCTATTAAGAATAATACCTATTCTTTTTTTAATCTATAATTACGATTATGAGGAACGACGAAATATGATTACGATTAACGAATTACTTATTAAAAAACCAATCTTTTTTTTTTCACCTAGTTAATTGAACGTCCGATTGATGGTTGATTGACGTTCGGATAATCGGAATTCCAGTAACCAGTATATCATAATCATTAAAAACTTGTGAAATATTTACCCGTTTTTAATATTTATGTCTGTCTGTGCCCTATGGTAAAGCCGGTAAAGGTAATAGACTTACAGTCTTCAGTATTGATCTATACGTGAGCACGACGTCACGATATAGATAAAATCTAGAATAATGTCCTAAGGTAATCTTAAATGTATCAGCATCAAAATTCTTTAGTTAAATTCTTTGTTTATTTTTGGCGGTAAAATATGTTGTTCTTTTTTTGATTATAATTTATAGTAGATAATGAAATGATATCAATTATTGTATTTTACGTTAACTAAAATTTTGGATTTTTATTTTTATGATCTAAGTATTTATTTCATTGGTATTTTGGTATTTTCGTCGTAAATTTATTATTCAAACCACTTTTATTTATACTGATATTGGAGTTTTTTTTAAATTAAGTTATACTTATATAAAGCTTATTTAAGTTACATTAACTGTAGGTATTTGTATTGAATTTTTTTTTTAAAACTATGATGGAAACAAAAGTTATTGTTGAACAACTTGAAGATAAACAACAAATAGTAAGGTTTTTATATTTAATTCAAACATTTTTTGCTTAATCCTAATAAATAACAAATTTCATATCAGTGCTTCATTCATTGCAATATTTAAGCAATGTGTAGGTAATAATTACGGTACCTATGAGAGTAAATTTATTTAAATAGTAAAATTATATTATTTTAAAAAAATTTTAAATTTATAATATTTACTTCTCAAGACTTCTTAGTTTATATATTAATTGCTGCGTATTTCAAATTTAGAAAAATTGAACTACCATAAAATATTGTGCTATAATGGTATATATCAAGTTTTAGTAAACCTCAGTTTACTGGCAAATTGATATTGGCGTACTTTGCTATAAATTCTATTGAGATGGGCACTCGGTACATTTTTGGACATGGTTCAAATTACTCTATTTTTTTCTGATGGTTCTAAAAACAATACCTAACATTTTTGTCAAAATCAGCAAAATAATTTTTCAAAGTTATAAGCTATTATAAGGTCATTGCATTTTGTTGTTTATTTGAATAACAAACAATAAATTAAATATGTTATTTTATTTAGATGATATTTCATAGCAATACATGGCTGAGTTGGTAACCAATTTTTTTTTTAAATTTTTTTATTTCTATAATCAATAGAAATCCTATGTATTATTTCTATAATTAATAGAAATCCTATGTATAAACAATTATATAATTTTTGACGCCAAAATAAATTGTATGTGTGAGTCATCTTATACCAATCTATAAGTGTTGAAGGAATAAACTTAAAAACACTATCTGAATCTCAAAAATATATTTATATACATTTTATTGAAATTGGTTTTGTAGTTTCTGTGTTTATCGCTTTCAAACATACATATTCTTCAATTCTTTAATATTAGTTCATAATATATATGTATATATATGTGTGTGTGTGTTGATGTTGATTACAGTGCCTACAATTTGTATCGTTTATGTTCCTATCTATCTAATTAATTAATTAGACATAATTCACTTACCTAATTACTTAGTGTAACTTTAATTTACCATATATTTAGAATGTTTTTTCTTATATTATAGATTATTTAGCTACAAAAATTTAACATTTTTTAAAAAGTTCTGTTATATTGCTATAGATTAATTGTTAGTCGGAGTTCTTAAGATGTATTAACTTAGCTCATGTTACTATTATATTATATGTTATTATTAATATACATATAATGACAATGGTGTATTTACTTTTTGTAAAATTATTTTACTAATGCAAAATTATAATATTTCAGCTGTTGAAAATTTAAGTACTATAACTATATTTTCGTAATATTTTGAATTTCCATTAACTTATACATTATACAAACAAGTTGAAAAAAGTATCATGTAGTATCTCTATAAATTTAAATATATATTTTACTCTAATTAAAAAAAAATTAGTAAATATCTAACATAAATATAGATATAATATTATTTAATTAATAAAGTATTTGAATTTGTTATCTGTATAGATTACAATACTTATTTACTCGTATAAATCTTGTTTGTTCGATTGTGTATGTCTCATTAATGATTTTTTAACAGGCTTTGATTTAGCTTAATACATTTTTCTATTCTCATATTAAATGTTTAACTTAATATTATAAGTAATATTTTTATGAAGAATGTATTTATATGTTAATACTATATATTTTATACTTTTAGGTAACATATAAATATTTGACTGAAAAATTAAACATTCATCCAAATAAAGCAAAACAGTAAGTAAACTGCTTAGAAATAATTTTTTTTTTTTAAATTCTTATTCAGATTTTTTTTTTCTAGATTATTAAAAGATTATGTTTCTAAACTCACAAATGATCAAAAATACTCCATCACAGTTATTATGGGGGGAACACTTAAGGAAAATGATGAGTTTAGTATTGTATTGGCATATGATGATCATGTTGAAACTATGCGCCGGCGTTTTAAGCAAATTGATTTTGAACACATTTATAGTATTCAACCTATTAGCAGATTCGATGATATTAATAACGCTTTATATCTAGTGGACAATTCATTAAATGATTATATAAATTTGCCTTCAAGTATTAAAACAAAAAAAAAAGGAAATGAACAAAAAGATGCAATTGAAATGGAAATTGATTTAGCTTTGCCTGAACAGACAAACTTGTCACCTAATGAAATTCAAAACCATGAAAGTGAAACAATTGCGGATACAAAATTAGATAAAACACAGAAAAAGGTAATCTTAATATTTCATTTTGTCATTTTATTAGTAATTGTTAAGATATTTTTTACAGAAAAATGGATTGGATTTCTTTAAAAATAATAATACCAATAACAAAAAACAGGAAGAAGTTGCAAAAAAAGTTATTCCAAACAAGGTCAGTTAAAATAAAGCCAAAATTTAAAAAATATGTATACAATTAACATGAAAAAATTAATTTTTAGGCCAATTCAGATTTCTTTACAAAATTCAAAAGTTCTGATAAAAATCCATGCACAACAAATGGTTCTACTGATTCTAAAAACAATGATGTATCAGAAAAAATTACAAAAACAGATACTAAATTAATAGATGTAGAGTCACCGAAATATTCACAAGACAGTTCAATCAGTGTAAAGAAAGAAAAGAAAAAAAAAGAAAATATAAATAAAAATAAAAGTAAAAAGAATCAAAAAGTTAAAAGAAAACGTATTCAAACATTCGATAGTTCAGATGAAGAAATAGATAGTGAAGAGGAAGGTATATTATAATGTAGAATATTTATTTATTTATACTTTGTCTTATATAAGTGTAACTCCAGGTGGGTTTCTTTCTGCACACGGCAATAAAAATAAACCCAGTTTCTGTGTGCTGAGCTCTTGGGAGTGTCAATTTATTATTTCAACAAATGCCTAATTTATATTTTGTTAAGAATAACACATAGTTAGCATCATTTTTCCTCATTCTAACCATCAAAAACAAAATTCAATGAAAATCATATTAATTGAAGGGATGTGTTCTGAATGAACTAAACAAAAATCAATCAACGCTTGGAATTCCTTTTACATGAGACAGTTTATAATATTATATTTTAATTATCAATATTTATTTTTTAGATATGAAAAGATCTGAACATGTTATGGATGGTGGGGATGATGTTGATTATGTACAGCCTACTCCACCACGCCCAACACCAAGAGAGAATCGAAAAAAAGAGAAACAAATAACCACATCCACATTCATGGATGATGATGGTTTTGTCCGTGAGAACATATTTTTATGATTTTAAAATAACTAAAAAGTCTAATGTTTTTATTGACTTATTTATATGATTTTTTTTTTTAGATACTACTAAAGAAGTTAAAATTGTGGAAACAGAGTGTGAATCACTTTCAGAGTCCATTGGAAACGACAATATTCCTGAACCTAAAGAATTAAATATTGAACCAGTTGTCAAAAAAATGAAAGTTAGTGAATCAGATTCTGCAGATAAAAATAAGAACAAAAATAAAAAATCTAAAAGTAGCTCTAGCCAAGGAATGAAACAATCATCATTAACTAGTTTTTTTAAAACAAAATAAATAATGTATTACTATATTTTTTTAATAAATACACAAATATTAACATAAAAAATTTAATAATTTTTATGTACCACCAGTATAATAAGTAATAATATATAAATATAAAGAAATATTAAACTGCTACAGTGTTATTAAAGTTATAAACATATAATATTTCTTTTTTAATCATCTAAAGTACATTATTTTTAAAAATACAAGTTCAATCACAATCCTTCAAGGTTGACATTATATTGGTAAGTCATTTGAAACAGTGCTTTCAACGAAGGCATAAAAGTTGATATTTTTGAAAATTCTGGGCCCGAAACTAGTTGAGTGTGTATATTAAATGCACCATTGAAATCTCGCTTCAATATAAGATCGATCATCGTGTGGAGACATTGAATCAAATAAGCTGACAACTGTAATTCATGATGACATTGATTTAATAGATAATAATAATAATAATAATAATTTAATAATGTATTTCATTATATGTAAAATGATAATTCAAACATAAATCTTCATATATTAATAAAAAATAATAACTATAATAATTTTATAATTTTTTTTCAATATTAAGATATGATTATATGACCTGAAATTTATAATCAAATAAAGTATAAATGACAATTGAGTTAGTTTTAAATTAGTTTGGTAAGGATTAAATTATTATTTATTCAATATAACTTTTATAGAATAAATAGTCTTAAATTTGTGTTTGTCAAAATTATCAGTATCATATTTTAGAAATTATTACTGTAAAACTTAAATTATTCCAAGATAATTTTATATTGATATTAATACTTACAGAATTTTCTCGTAAAGAATCATACAACAACTCTAATTTTTTTGCAATATCTGAAACTCTTTTTCTGGTTTGCTATAAGAAAAAAAAGGTATATAAACTTTTGTAACATAAACTTTACAAAATTAGAGTTAAACTAGTAAATTTTAAATATACTCAATATATGAATATAGGTGAAACAATCAGTTAAAAATGTCTTAATACTTACAGCAGTGGGTGCTGCTTCTAATAATTTTGATTGCAATCCCTCCAATACTACTTGAATTTTAACATGCTCTTGTGGAATAGGCTGCTTTTCTAATGCTTCTACACCTTGTTTTATATTATTGTTTAAATATTGTTCTTCATTGGAACTTTGAAGTGGAATGTAAGTTCCAATTTCTTCGATTGGAGGTGGATTATTTGTATATAACGGATGTGTAATAGGAATTGATGACACAGGTGTTGGTGGTTTCTAAATGAAAGGTTAAATTACATATATATATATAAATAATGAGTAATTTTTTTAAATTTTAAAATGGGGATGATCATGCTCAACAAATGGTGCTGTTTATAGTATATTATATTATTATTATTTTAACAAAAACATCATTTGAATCGTCTACTTTTGTTTTAAAATCTAGTATACGAGTACTTCATGTATAGTAACAAATATTTTAATGAAGTACATGAAATTTATTTAACAAAATTTTTATTTATTAATTTTACTTCGTACTCTTATGTTAAATTCATACAATAACAACTTCAATTTACACTAAAACAAATGTAGGATAATTAAACTGAATAAATGAATAAATTATTGGGGGGTATATGTTCAACTCCGGTAAATATAACTGATAGTTCTGGATTGAGAAGTAAAACGGCTTGAGTTATAATTAGAACTGTACTAATGCCCAATTAAGTATTTTTTTTATTTAAATCACTTGAATAAACAAATTATTCAAAAAATCTTAATACTTTTTTATGAATATATATTTATACTCTACTACTTTATATTCTATTTAGTGATTCTTAAATAATATGATTCTCTAACAAATACAACATAAGAATTTAATAGGCTAAATAAATTTAAACATTTTTAAATTTTAAAACTTAAGTAGTCCTGGGTTTTTTTTTTTAACCTATACACTAAATTTATTGAATTGTCCATACATATAGGAAACATTTTTTTTTTTTTTGTGTATGGCGTTTATATCAGGGAGTAGGCCTGAAAGCCTAGTTCAGATGCCTGTTTGGCAGAATTTTTAGTTGGGCACCCGTTAATCAATAATTATTAAAAGATTTTTTATATCTTTAACTTATCTATCAGGGTTACTGTTTAATGAAAAATCATTAATCAAAGTAAATAAATTTTTGGTATTTAATTATGTTTATCCCCACAGCATAATATTTAGCACAATCCGCTGAGTTTTGCTTAATAAATTAGTAACTAACCTAGCACTGATATCCAAGGAAAAATTGTCTAATTAACTATTATATATTAATATACAGTCAATGTTTTAAATAAATGATTATTACTTGAATTGGAGCAGAAGTTGATAACATTGGAGGATCATTCCAACCAGGAGTTGATTTTTTAATGTAATTCATTGGTAGAGGTTCAACTAAGAAAATAAGAAATTAAATTAAAATGTTTATGTTGTATAACTAAATATATATTTACCTGATGGAGTTCTCTGATTGTAAGTTGAAGATGATTGATTAAAATTGGGCGATGGAGAAATTGGTTGAGAAAAATTATTTAAATGACTTTGAATAGGTTGAAATGTTGGTTGTTGATTCATATTAGGTAATTGACCAAAACTTTTAGGCTGATTAAAATTACTTATTTGAGCTGAAGCTGGATTATAAATATTTGGTTGCATTGGCTGGTTAAATTGTTCATTGAAGTTACTTGTGTTTCCCAGTGGTTGATTTATAAAATTTGACTGACCCATTGGTGGATTAAAACCACTTTGATGTCCTAATGGTTGGTTTAAAGTATTTGATTGGCCCACAGGTTGATTAAAATTATTTTGTTGTCCAAATGGTTGATTTAATGAATGAGGTAGTGGCTGTCCCATTGGTGAATTAAAACCACTTTGTTGTCCCAATGGTTGGTTTAAAGTATGTGGTTGTCCCATTTGTGTATTAAAACCACTTTGTTGTCCCAATGGATTTGCCATAGATGAAATTCCTAATCCATTATTATAATTGCCATAAATGTTATTTCCTTTAACAGAAGGATCAACAACATACTTAGGCTTTCCTATAACAAGACAAAAAAAAAAAAAAAATTACTCTGCAGATCATAACAATATATAAATAAATAAATACATTAGCTTTTAATATCTAACATAGTGTGAAGAAAGAAAGTGGATAAAGAGATAATAGAAGAATGAATAAAGAAATAGTAGCTAATAAAAGATGCAAAAAAAAAAAAAATATATCAAAATTAAATTCAAGAAACACAAGAAACAAGAAAATTAAAAAAAATAATTATGAAAGCTATATGGATTTTTTAAAATTTTAAAACAATAAGATACTATAAGATTATATACGTATATCAAACTATTTAAATAAAAAAAAAGTTTAATAAAATAAGAAAATGTATTTTTTTTTTTTTTTGTAGAATTAAAAATAATATTTTTTATTAGTTATTTATTTTTAAATTTTTTTTATATTAATTCATATTTATATAATAAAGTATTGTTATTATTTTATATACCTGGCTTAATACTGCTTGGAGTCATACATCTACTGCTAGAATCCGGTGGCGGTGTTGGAGGGACTGTTTTTTGCATATTTGTTTGATTAATATAACTATTTCCGTATTCTGGTGGTATACCATTAAGGTGATTGTTATAAATAGATGTTGGTTGATTTTGAGAGTTGTATGTTGGCTGAGAATGAATATTAGGTGGATAATTTGAAGGAAGTTGTCTATGACTTTGATGTGTATCGTTATCTTGGATAAATTTATTTGGATAAGACGGAAAAGGTGGTTCTGGCGTTATGGTTCCTGTAGCACTTGATGTTGAGTATTTTCGTAAATCTTGAGTACCAATATTAAATGTTTTCTGTAAAAAGTTTATAGTAATGAATTATGTTTTTAATTAAAATAATAGATAATATATGATTACCTGTAAAACATTATTTGGATATTCAGCTGTTTGATTTTTACCAAGTGCTTTATTTAATTGATTTTTTAATTCAATGCTATAATCCTAAAGAAATAATATTTAAGTATTTAAATAAATATATTACATTAAATACAAATATTACTTACCTTGTTTGTAAATTCTAAATATCTTAGTGCTCCTTCTAGGTCACCTTGAGAAATCAATGTTTCACTATACATCACTAAAAGTTCTGACAACTTTTGCCCAACTTCCAAATGAGATTTACCAGACAATTGTGATTGATGCAACATCATTGCCATTTCTACACATTCTTGTAGCTTTTCAACTGTTTTAATATCTTTTTTATTATTTATAAGAGCTTCAACATTTCCAGAACAGATATAACAAAGCTGTGCATATTTTGACAAGCTTAGATCATCACTAGCTGCAAGACGATTGCCGAGTTTTTCAAAAGAAGAAACAAAATTTGATCCATTTGTATGAGTTAGAATGGCTGTCATTATTTCTTTCCAACAGTTTAAATTGCAATTTTCAATCAGATTATTCCAATCATTAGTAACAATCGCATGTAATAAAGCAGCAGTTGGTTCTTTTGAATTCTATAACATGTGTGTATTGCATAATTACAAGGTTTCAATTAATATTAATGTTGATTTACCTTGAGATACTTATTTTGTATTCTAGACAATGTCTTAGGACCAGCAATTATACCAAGTAATAAAGCTTCAACTGGTTTTCCATTATCTAAGAATAAGTCAGCCGCCATTGACAAATTTCCAACAAGAAGTGATTGATATAATAAGTCCTGTAAATCTATATTTTTAATATAAATTATTAATTAGTAAATAAAAAAAAGATATTTAAAAATGGAATTTGTTCTATTGTAATATAAAGTATGTGTCAGATATACATTGATCACTATAATTAATATGTTAAATTTGAATTGAATGGTCGATCATTGCATATAAATTGATTCTGAGCATAGAAAGACTTCTTAATTTTTTATTTATTTATATTGCTATTAGTTATTAATTTTCAATTTAATACCAATATACTGTAGAACAGTATAAATAAGTTCATAGTTATGTAGGTTACTTGAAATATCTAAACATAAAGAGTGTTTATACATAAAATGTTTTC